TCATAAGTGTCGTAATTTTGTTTATTATCTTGGAACACACTTGAAAGCATGTTATTTGTATTCAGGGTATCCTAATTATCATCAACAGCTTGCCAGGTGTTAATATTCTAGGTCTTCTAGCTATCACCATGCACTGTTTCCAATGGTCATGATATTGTAGATATTTGACCATGAAACTCCATTTGATAGTTGGGAAAATGAGGGTTACAACATTTTTCAACTGTTGATTTCATAGCTGCACGGGCTGCACAACACATAATCATTCTGAATACAGAATTAGAGTGAATATTACGTGGTCTACAACACATAACTTCACCAGACAGTTCAAAAAGTGATGGTCAAATCTTCCTTTGGTTTTGCAATCATCTTAGTTTATATTTCTCAATCCTAGCTATAGAGACTGGTGAAGGGGTCAACATCGCCATTGTGACTATGCACTTGAGTATATTATACAGCTAAGGTTGTTCTTCCACTAGATCAGAGTGGTATTTGATGGTACCCTCACCAACGTCTTCAGCTACAACTAGTTTATCATATTCTTTCCGATTAAGAAAGTATAGTGGATGTTCATCAGTAACATACAGTTTGAGTTGATCAATGTGTTCTACATGCTTTTCCACCTTATGCCAACACCAAATCTCATACTTTAGATGACTGAACCATTACAGCATAAGATCAGATCTAACTCGGATCTGAGTGGTTTATATACTGCTGGAGTATACCAGAGCCACATGCAGTCTCTTTGTTCACATTGATATTTTCTCATACATCTTAAGTCTTTTGGCAATTTGTTTCATCTGTTTACATGTGCATCATAAACACACATTCTTGTGAACATTCCACTTATTCTGCAGCTGGTGAATGCAATATATGAATGATATTTTTGGAAGCATAACTTCATGTTCTAACACTAACGTGTTTGAAAAATATTCAGTGGACTTTGTTCTGTTGCATGGCATGTAATCATTACATAAGGCAGGAAACCATCTTTATCAGTCTGATCTGAAATCGCAAACTTAGAAAACATACACTTTACAGTAAGGATGAACTGCTCACCCAAACAAGAATGATAAGGTGAAGGAAGAACCTTCACAACACCCTCACTCTTACACAACTCAGCAACTAGCAGACTGTTAAAAGCTTGTTCCTTATCATTTTGAATCTCTTCTGGTGATCGAGCACTCCACATACATCAGCACACATAATGAAGTAATTGATTAGTGATCAATTTTCATGTTAGGTCCAACAATATCCAGGCCTACTCTCTAGAATGGAGAACTTCTAAAAGGATTGCGGATGATTCATTCTCTGAGCCATAGAGGCAATGCAGTGTTTATACCTCTGCTTTATATCTCTATGGGAATGCAATAGTAAAAACGGTCTCGCTGGTTGGCTGTAGTGCAAGACACTCCCCAGTTCCCTATACCGTATTTTTCGGTGTATAGGACGCACTTTTTTACCCCAAAATTTGATGTAAAAATCTGCTTACGTCCTATACACCGAAGGTATGAATAATATATATGTAATGTTACGTCTCTGTATGTTTGTTTGTTAATTCTTCTACGATACAAGTTCTTTCTTTATAAAACTTGTTTATTCTTCCTCAGTACAACTTTGTAATGTACTTAATTTTCACAGTTACACACACAAAGTTGTACAATGAAGTTGTCCTCCTGAAACTTTACAAGCCAACAAACAAACATACATTCAAATTCTCCAAAGTTCATCAGCAACATCAATCTTGTATGCTTTATAAAATAAAGAAGTCCTTTATCCTTGCTCCAGAAAATAGAGTTATCTTAAACCAGAACCACAAATGTTGGACAGCCAATGTATTAAGATCCTAGAAATTTATATGTACATGTGCAAAACAATACAGATTTTGGCTGTTTTGTTATATACTTATGTTTGAGACTTTAACTTTATCATTTGTGTTCATTTAAGTTTCTGCAAACGAATATTTTGAACCTCTTGCACTCAGGTACTTAATGTTTACTTGTTAGTTACAACCACAGCAATAACTGTTCTAATTCCCAGATAAGAAACCTGTATCAAAAGTTATCATTAATTATGTTAATACTTTTATAGCAATTTTCTTAACACTCATAATTTAGGATGAAAGGGTGATCAGGAATTTATTAGGCAAACAAGTGTGAGAAAAACTATCTTTGACTGAAGATATTAAAATTTGTTACATTCTTTTAAATTAGTCCATTACAAGATACAAAATCAAAGGCTTATGAAAAGTAGTTGTGTGTGTTACAGAACAATTCTAGTGTTTGCTACACTCTTAGATAATACTCAAATTTCTCGAAATTTATTTTCTTCAGTTTTGGTTAACATAAAAAGTCAATTAAGTACACAGAAGTTCTCTTTAGTTGTGCATGAAGCCAGGATCACTCTTACTGATCATTAAACATGTTTTCCTGCATGAAAGACAGCTGTAACTTCACTCCTGGTGTCATAAAATAGTTGTCTTTTCTGTCAAAAAATCATGTAATAGACCAGGGGTTCTCCATTTTATGGGTTTGGGTCACATAAGTGAGGTGAGCAGTTTGGTTTTGTTTGTTATATACAAAAGTCTAGGCTTGCTCTCCACTACAAGGATAGATATTGACGTAGATTTTTCCAATTTTTCTGGATAACAAATATTTCGGCAGATTTTAAGATGTTATTCATTCATTTTGGGCTTTTATTTTGTGACTTAGAGGGATTCTGTGTTTTTGCTTTAACTTCAAATTTTAGCTCCTTGACACTAAATCGGTAGGAGAGAACTACTAACACATCTAACACTCTATCTCCAGTTCCACACACAGACACACTCTTAAACACTTGTCTGTGTTTTATTTTACTGTAACTGTGATTGGTCTATTTTTGCATACAGTATCTTTCATACTGTCAACTCGTGGAAAACAAATCTGTAGTCCATGATATTGTACTTACACCCTCCCAATTTACTCCGGGAGGAAAACAGTGTATCCAAAAATACACATTTGTAACTTAGGCATTTTAAAACAATTTGTTTGGCATACAAGTAGTATTTCTGATACACTTTTGGTAGCCACAGATTTAGCCTACTTGAAGAGTTTTTATTGAATGAAAAGCATCCTGGGCAGTAAGTTATAGCAGACAATATAAAACATCAAATGCTCTTTTTGTTATTTCTGATTTGAAACATGTAATACACTAGTTAAGAAATATTGCACTTTCAAAGTGATTTTTAATGACATTTATTAGTTCTCAGATTTTCTTGCTTTGCCAACTTAGATACCCTTCACCACAGTAAACTTACATTTAGTCACTTGATGATAAATATGCCTCTAAAATGTTCGTAACTACTTGTCTGAATGTTTATCATATATAAAAACAAGACATATTGGTCTTTCACACTATGTAATTTAAAATCCAAATATTTCAGTGAAGTAGATGACCATCAAAAAAGTCGGATTTTAGATTACTTGAGCATGCAATATTGTTCTACACCTTTGACAAATACTGTAATCAAGACATCTGAACAAAATATATTTACTAGCTCACATTTTACAGGTTTTTTCAACTCTTCTTGTTAGAGACACATCACCAGCTAAGAAGATGTTATTGTTTTTTCCAAAACACAAAACTTGGATTTAGTTTTCTCTCACTCATAGGTAATGAGACAAACAATTTCATTAAAAAATGTACATTGTGGTACTGATCCATCCATTACAAGTAGTTGTGCTCATAAATGATTTTTACATGTTAATACCAGTTCATTTGAGGATTTATAGTAAACCTCATCTGTAGATTATTGTCAATATTACCTAAGATTAAGAGGATAAAAACGATAGTAAAACTAAATAGCAGAACTTCTCACAAGAGACAAAAACAAATTAAACTTCAATATTTCAACTTTCCCAAATGTTTCTTTATTTGCAATTTATAAAATGCATTATTTCCTTCTATCATTTGTAAATATCCCACACAAAACACACGAAAAAAGCGACTGATGTCACATCCTCTTTACATACTCTGACCAAATATTCACCTTAAAAGAGAGTTAGGTATGTTAATAATCCAAGGGTAGTAGCTTTGACTTTTTGGTCACAGGGAGTTCAATATTTGTCCACCCACCCTTGTTGCTTTACTTGTTATATACCACCCTTTTCTGTATTTATACTCCTTCAATCTTGGCTATGGCATCTTCATGATCGTTGATTATAAACTGGCAGAACTTGATTCTGTTTATGTTCACTATAACCACTGTTGATGAGGCCTTTCAACCAGTACCAGGGCTTATCAAGAAGCTATTTATATCATCATTTACTTGAAAAAAAAAATGTTACAATGTGAACTAAGTTACATTGGTTAACTGTAATTTTTATCAATTCTATTTAAGTCATTACCCATCAGGATCAGGTTTAAGATAGGGTGACCATTAGGTTTGTAAAGGATTACATAGTTTGTAAAGTTTTATTTCATTCTTTACCTAAAAATAATTCATGATTTGTTTGAACTTGCTGATTCAAAATACTTTAAGGGTAAGACAATAAGGGACATTAAACACCCAGGAGTTTAAAACAGAAAACAAGAATTTGCAATAAACTATATTCATAGACATAACATAGACATGTTTTTTCTCCAAGATACACATTTCTATTGTCAGGACGAAATCAAAACATTTAACCTCTGCTCTTACTGGAACCTTGGATGACTGAGAACAATCAGGTACAGATATGATCATCAGTCTTAATCTTACTGGTAGGATTGAATGTTTTAAGGCAAGTGTGGCAAGCTTTGCTTACTAAATTAACTGACACACACACTTCATAGTGAAAATATTTATGTTCCTCCCCTTTTTCATTAACTTGTATTAATATTATCTATACTGTACCTATGAACATAATCATATGTGAAGATACTTAATACAGCCCTTTACTTCATACTACATAAAAGAATGACATATAATACCAAACTTACACAAACCTATTATTGACACATTCAACCAAAGCTATACTTGGCACCACTTTCAAGGCACTACATCAGAATTAACTCACTAGAATGTTGCAAGTGTGGTGGTGTACAGGCTATATAGATTCTACACCACTAGTGATATCCTAGTCTTTGGTGAGAAAACTAGGATTAGTCCATTTTATAACTAATTAGAGGACATCACTGCATATTCTTAAAAATTTTAAATCCAGCTAATCCCAATTGAGTACAGGAACACTAAAAGCTCAATGCATTTCTCCAGGAAAATACAGAGGTCATAAATTATGTCAACAACTGCTTGACCAACATTTGTTACACAAACTACATTAACACAACATGATGGGAAACACCTAATAAATATGGTATCCTGTTGGCTTTTAAAATCATGGTAAAAACAATCTTGAAATGGAAATAGGCAAGTTGATTACCTAGATAGAATGCCTACAGCATCAACAAGACGCGTACATAACGATTCCAAATTTATTGAATATTCACAGCTTGTTAAAGCAGACTTTGACAAACTATACAGCCATAATTAATCATACTTGTCATAAGACATGAGTATTAGGCCTATTATATTTTAAAAACTAAGTTCTTAACTCAGTCTATTAGGGTTTATCAAAAACAGGAAGAGTTATAATATTCTAACTACCATTTTTCTCAATACAGAGCTCATTAGGCCAGGTGAGACACACTGAACACAGCAATAGTCAGACCACTGTTTATTTGTGACTATAATATAAATGGTATGAATGGCTTTTCTAAGATAGGGAGAGTACAATTAGTATTAATTATATTTGTCATAAAATAGTGTTCCGACCATTAATAATGAGTGCTGTTTTGAGTGACAAGCATCATCAGCAATAGATATGGCAGACATAGTGTGGTTGAAATACTACTATAAATTTTTCTTCTTGAAAAAACCTAAGGGACTGAATAAGACTATGGTCCTAAGAATATAACATGCCTGATATTAACATATAACAATAATAATTACTACTAATGATAAACATGCTTCGTCAGTTTAGAAAAGGCGTTCAAACCCTAATAATTGTTATAAAGTCATTAATTTTAACACCAGTTTTGCTGCAATAAAATTCAAAGTAAAGAAATGTTTTTCAAACTACTTCTATGGAGTTCAAACAAAATAAACAAGTATCATACAGTGTGTCCCAGAAGTCTGGACCCATAGAGAAAAATATAAAATTTATTCTTTATTTATTTATTATTCAAACTGCATGCCATATCAACTTTTGATATACTGTTCCACCAGGGTATTTTATTTCCTGAAATATGTACAACAGACATTAGAAATGTACTTGTTTAACTTTAAGAATATAATGTTTATTTTCCCTATGGGTCCACATTTTTAGGACATCCTGTACATAAAAGATCTTTACAATAATAATGGAAAATATTCTCAGGAATTCGCCACATTTATTAAGCATAATCCCAAACCTGTATTTTCCTGAAATATGGAATAAAATGCCACAAAGTTTACAAGCACTCAATAAGAACCTCAGAAACAGTATCGCTACTGGAATACTGTAGACTTTAGTATGCTGTGAATTAAATAAATCTCCCAGATCCGAGAGTCTTGAGTTACTGGTTGAATTTTATAAATCAGTGTACTCGGGGCAAAGTTTAATCAAAATTATTAAAAATGCTAAACAACAGTCTAAATATGAATACCTAACCTCCTTCGATCGAAAGTGGTATAATTATGTCACACTCTAAAAAGAAATTTATTCCTGTCACCCAAGTGCGATTGTATAAATATCATCCATTGTAACATAGATTATGGTTCTTGCTAAGTGTATTAGCAATAGGCTTAAGAGAGCAATATACTCATTTAGTCAGAGTCACCCAATCAAGCAACATTAAGGGTCATAGCATTCATAGTAATACCACATTGTTATGAGATATAATCAGCTTCTGTAATAGCAAAAAAAAGTGACATAATTATCAATCAAAAGGAAGCCTTTGGTTTAATTAATCTCAGTTTTCTATTATTCACTTTACACAAGTATAATTTTCTGAAAGATATCATTAAATGGATTAAAATTCTTAACACACATATATAAGATAAAGAAAATGTCAATGTACATTTTACCTGGAAAATACCTATTAACTCTGTGTAAGATAGAGATATCCCACTTTTTTTATTCTTCCCTGACCTGACTTTTTTCAATACCAGAACATCAAGGTTATTCTCATTCCTAGAAATTCAGTTAAATAAGAGTCATGGCACATGCTGATGATCTGACCCTAGCAGCCAGAACAGTCTAGATATTGTTGCCAAACACAGTGAAGTTAACAGAGCAGAAGTAATTTGAAATAACATCCAAGCCTTTTGGACTGTAAAATGTAAAAACAGAAAAGGTAAGCCCATAGGCTTGAAATGGGCCATTAAAATACTAGATATCTGGCATGGACTGCCTACCAATACAGATTACAACTAGAAAATTTTAATAATTTAAATAAAACAATCAAAGATTAGAAACAGAGAAAAATTCTTTCTTAGCTAAAGCTTCAGCAGTAAAACAGCACGTGCTAAGCTAGTTTACACAAAAATTGTCTGCCTTTCCCTAAATATATTACTCAAGTAAACAGGAAAGTATAAAGGGTCCACTACCCCCAAACAGACCCAGTGTTAAGCATAGGCAAAAAGGTAGCTGCTTAGGTCTTCAGTTAAGCTAACACTGGCCCTAACACCAAGTACAGCTGGTTTAGGAATACCACATCTATGGACTTATTTTACAACAAACTGGATCCACTTCATGTGCAATATTCTGATATAACAGCATCTTAGTTCACATTTTACTTCAATTCTACTGATGTTTCATGATAAGTATTTTAAAACATACACAAACAAACAACAAAATAAGAGTTTCAACTTCCCCTAAGTATTAATGGTTTAATTTGAAAATGATTATTCACAAACTAACAAACAACGATAGAATGAAACTACCTAACATGAAAACTCAAAAAATTTACAATGTCATGCAAATAACTGCATGCTCAGAGCAGAAAAAATTGCTCAGACATTGACAGGAAAAAAGTTTGGGAATGGGGTTAACTCCAACTATTTTGAGGCCCTAAGACATGACCTTGTCTGAAAAACAGCCCCTGAAATTATCTCTTTCAGATGTAGATTAAGCAAGTTTACTATATGACCAACAAACCTCTATTATTTCTTTCTTTTAAAGTTCTAACACAGTAACTTCATTAAAGTTGTATTAAATAGTTTATATTAAATGACAACCACTGTACTATAGAAGAGCCTTGTTCTCCTTCTTACTATTATTAAAATACATGGTATCTCAAGTGTGGCTTGCAAGTGACTAAAATTAGATAATGATTATTTACAATATTACAAATGTTTCTGAAAAGAATGTAATTTATGGACATAGTTTCTTTCAGTATTTTATACAAAAATAAGATGGTACAAAGAAAACAGCCAAATGTGACATAGACAGTCAGCTTCCTTTTGCTTTTCACAGTTCAGTTGATCAATAAGTATTTCACAACTAGACTGATAACACCAACCATATTATTAAACATGAACTTACAAACTAGAGTTCAAACTTTTTCTTGTTGCATGTGGGATTTTTTATGACGTAGCATCTCAGTAGAGGTTAAGAACAATTCTTCTTGACATTCAGAGCAGAAAAAAGCTTTTTTCAAAGAATTCATAGACAGTCTTTTTTGTGCTTCCTCTTCATCATTTTCTATAAAGTAAAATATTACTTACTATAAAATTTGTTTATTACACTTCTTTAAATTAAAAGACTGAAAGAGAAGACTAAAAACACAAAACTTACTGAATTTCACTGCAACCATAAAGAATATCAAATTATTACATAGCAATATTTATCTTAAACAAGAGGGAATCCTCAATAGCAGCACCACTTGAAATTTTTTTAGGCAGGATTAGAGTAAATTAATCTATAAGACCTTTTTTCCCGTTTTTCTCAGCTATATTTTTGTGCACCAGCAATACTAAGAATGGGGCATGCCTATACCCAATTTGATTTAATTACTCATCAGGATCTTTACCAGCCTACCTTCAAATTGAAATTATTTTAGGCAGGATTAGAATAAATTAATTTATGAGACCTTAGGCATGGTCAAATACATCAATTGAAAGGGTTTGACCTCCTGAGTTCTAAACTGTAATTTGATCTCATATCAGTCAAAAGATGATGGAGATATGAGCTAAAAGATTGTACTTCAAAAAAAAAGAAAACAACTCTATGAGCTGCTCAGCCACAGCTAAAAACTTCATTGTCACTGCAGTTCTTAATAAAAACTTCTCACTCATAAGACAAGTTTCTGTACCATCCTACTAATCAACTGTTCTCAAACAAAATCTTTCCATGAGAATTGTACAAGCTAAAATAGCTGGGAACATTTTTAAATACGATATTTTTAATAGGTTCATTATGGTTCTCAAACAAGAAGTATGTATAGAAACTACTGCAACAAATAAGACATAAACAATGTTCTGTGCATCATGTTTTCTGAGAGTTGGTAATTTTCATTTAATTAGTGTGAAAGAATTACTTGATAAGTTCTACTGTGTTGCTACTCAGTTTTCAGTAAAAACATACCAAAGATGTCCAAAAAAAAAACAACAACAAATGTTTTGCCAATTACCTTATATCTAACTATGGTAAAGAGAAAATGACTGAGATTTGTTTTTGGGTTTAATGGCACAACAAAGCTGTTTGTGCTAAATAAGATCAACATAAAACAAGTTAAAATGCAGATATATTTTCCCATGTTGCAGAATTTCCAAGTTTTCTGGAAAGAAGAAAAATCTTTTAATTTCTTTCTTCAGCATTTAATTTTCAACATAAAAAGCTGCGTAACTTTTTACTTATCATAAACTAGAGAGTTAGTTTGCATTTATAAATTATTTGATTAAAATAATATTAAATAAGTTTATATTTCAAATTTTCAGGATTCATTAAATTTAAGTATTTCTGCCAAACATAAACAAATTCAATTACTTGTATGGTTTACATATGGTTGAATACATTATATTACAATGAATCTGAATAAGCAGATCAGCAAGTCACATGTTAACCACAGCAAATATAATCATAGTGGTGTGGAATGTATCAGAACTACATTTTGACATTGTTTGGCATTTTGCAAGTAGTGTGATGCCACCAAAAATATATATTGCTTTTGGGAAGTGTATCTAACAGCCCTTTTCGACATGAAATATTTAAATACTCAGATCATAAAGATGTGTTCAGATCAGAGGTTTTTATTTTCTAAGGCAGGGGATATATCCCTTGTATTTAATGGTATTGGACAAAAATGAAGATGAATCAACTAGAGGCAACCATTCTTTCCAGAAAGAGATTTGCAACAAGCCATACCTCAGCCATGGTAAGAAAAGTTCAAATCTTGTAACAGGTGAGAATCTGTTAACACAAAGTTCAGTGGTAAAACCTAACCATATGACCCAGACAACAGTACTCAATATACTCAAGAAAAATATCTGTCTAGAAATGTAGAACAAGTCACATGTACACAAGTTGCTTCCATGACACATTAACTATCACATATCTCAAACAGCTGGAGAACGAAATGGAAATTCATGCTTAAATGTGAATGTCTCCAGGAGTCTTGGAAGACAAAAAAGCTCATTGTCTTTAGGTTACATGCTTAATTAGTAGGATCCTTGATTTCAGTTTTTTTAACAGACCCCTGGGAGCCAGTGAGTCCCTCAAAGTCCTTCTGGATAAAGAAAACTGACATTTAACCCAGATGTTTCTCAGAGAAGGAATGAATGATCTAGAATGTTTTGGTAGATGAAGGTGATGAATAAACAGATGCAGTTTTCAGATCAAGACCTCTACAAACCACTTCTAAAGACATTGTAAGATAAAGAATTTATAAAAATATGGTAAACTCTGCTATGCACCATGGAGTCCTGCAAGAAAACATCATAACAATTCCAGGATTTTGTGAACTCTATACCCAAATACATGACCTTGCACACAGCAGAAGACCAATGATTACAGCTCCTACTACTGTCCAGGTGACTTATCATGAGGAGACCTTCCACTTACAGGAATTCAAAGACAAAATTGTGTGTTGTGTCAACCCTGGTCAGCTCAGGTGGCAGATAACACATCTGCTGGGATCGTTTTCCTTCCTTTTGTAAGTCATAATGCACAACAAACATAAAATGTGGGTGGATAAGCAAATCCTGTAGAAAGTAAATTATAGAAGTAGAACTTTCCTTGAGATGTTCTCTCCCCACAAACAGGGATTCACATCATCAAGGGGAAAACTGATGAAGAGTTAATTATCTGCTGGTGCCAAGAAGATATAGACACTTCATCATAAACAGCACTCTATCTAACACTACATAAACACAACATTAAAGCTTCATTAGATGTAATATTTCAGATAAGTCTATTACTGACGTACAGGCAACATTTTGGGAAAATAAATGACAAAATATCAATAATATGTAAAACAAGAGTGTGAAATAAATATATTCATAAAACAGTACTATAATATATAACTTTTTAATATAAAGTGGCAGCATTAATGAAACTAATACTCTTAAAGACAATTCCTAATGATACACAAAACATGTCCAGGTTTTATAGATATACCTAAGGATAATTCTACATAACAACTTACCATTAGCTTGGCACTGTTCCTGGTGTCTTACTTGGTCCAACACTGACAATGTCAACTCCTGATGACACTTAGGACACAACCAAGGTTTCTGGATGTACTGGAGTGTGGTTTGGTCAACATCAAGTATGCTTCATTTGGAAAGATACAAAGTGTTAGATAACACATTTCTCATGGACATGCAACAAATTAAGGTAATCTTATAAGCTACAACTCAAATTACACAGTCTTAAGACATATGACAAAACACAACACACAATCTTGAAACATGTCATTGTACAAACAGCCTTAACTCTCTCAATACGGGCTCAGTCAATTTGATCAACCACATGACCTCTTTGTTCTCATTTACAAATTTAATACTTCTAACTTTCAATACAGTGCGTATATCTTCACAAACTTTCACAGTCGTTCAATTAATATTATAAGTCTTTCACATACAAAAAATTATATTTTTTAGTGAAGTATTTTTTATAAAATGAAATAAAGATTTGTCAATGAATATATGAATATTTGTTTTAAATAGTCCGTGTGCAAAGTAATTTTCATGTTAAAAAACTTTTTTATTTCTAGAATGACTTCAAATTGTAACATGAAACTACATTCGTTTATCCTAAGTAGCCCTAAGTTTGTAACAGTATACATCGATTTATGCTTAATTTTTATTGCCCTTTGAACCATGTCTAACTACTGTCCACACCATTATAAGTTGTAAATCACTCAAGGAATGGGCAGCTCATGTTATGCTAACGAATTACATTACCCACAAGCTGCTCACGTGTGTGCCTCATGAAGCATTTTTATTATAATATGATTATTATTTATTTTACCTAATCTAATCTTAACAAACCTAAAAAGATCCCTATTTTTACATTTTAGTTACTTTTATAATTATACATAAAGAATAAACATGAAAAAAAGAAATATAATACTTAACCAATCTTCTTTTTCTTGCTGTCGGTTGTCGAAGAGAGTTAACCTTAATTTTTTATACTACAGATAGTAATGCACTAAATAATTTCTATTTAATTAAATAATGCACCAGAGAATATAGACTAATAACATGCAAATAGTAGACAAATTCCCTTACCTCTCAAAATTTTTCTGGATTTCTAACTATGCGACAAGAGCTGTTACAAATTCATCCAATGTAATCGTTAATTTTCTCATGGAAACAATATTGGTACTCTGAGTGAAATTGACATTTAACTGTTCAGAACATAACATTGTACAATACATCACTTGATAGATAAAAACCTTGAATTTCTATTGGTTATAGGTAATATATAATTAAACGTAAGAGAGAACTATCAACGAATTCTGAAAGAGAGGATGTGACAAGTAGGTGTGGCAGGAGGGGTCTGATTTTCTATTCGATAGCTCTGTAACCAAAGAAAATTGAAGACTATAAAAATTATTGTTTTGTCAGAGCAATAACAATTTTATAGAGAGTAATTTACGTTTAATTTTATCTTTTTGTAGGGGTGACAGATAAAATAGGGAAGATGACATGTTAACAGAAAATGTGTCACGTGGGTCACACTAGGGGAAATTCAGGATATTTTTTAATATTACCTTGTAGAATTAAGAACTTGAAACTTATATACTATTAAAATATGAGTTATTAACTAAGATTGTATGCTATTTTAATTGGTATAACATAAACAAAAAGAAGTTTAAGAAAATTTTGAACATAAGACACTAAAACCTTGTGTCATGTGCAGTAAAGGATACCCGTCTTGATAGGGTTAACACATACAACAAGACCACACACGCAATTTTAAAACATGTTACGAAACAATACACACAATGTTAAGACATAGTATAAGATCATACACACAATATTAGGACAGGTTATAAAACTATACACACAATTATAGCACATTTCACAAGATCAAACACACAATCTTGGTATACGTCACAAAACCATACACATAATCTTAGGACATGTCACAAGGCAATATACACAATCTTAGATGTTGAACATGTCACAAGGCAATATACACAATCTTAGATGTTGAACATGTCATAAGACAATATACACAATTTTAGATGTTAAACATGTCACAAGGCAATATACACAATCTTAGATGTTGAACATGTCACAAGGCAATATACACAATCTTAGATGTTGAACATGTCACAAGGCAATATACACAATCTTAGATGTTGAACATGTCACAAGGCAATATACACAATTTTAGATGTTGAACATGTCACAAGGCAATATACACAATCTTAGATGTTGAACATGTCATAAAGCAACATACACAATTTTAGATGTTAAACATGTCATAAAGCAATATACACAATTTTAGAACACGTTACAAAACAATACACACAATTTTAGAACACGTTACAAAACAATACACACAATTTTAGAACACGTTACAAAACAATACACATACTATTAAAACATGTTCCAAGACCATACACACAATTTTAGGATATGTTACAAAACCATGCACACAATTTGAGGATATGTCACAAGACAATACACAAAATATTAGGACATGTCAAAAGACCATACACACAACCATTAAACATGCGGCAAAATTGTTCATACAATTATAAGACATAATAAAACACTACTTATACAATTTGAACATAAGACACAAGGTGTTAATAGTCATGCTACTCTCAACATGGTACTTAAAAATTTCTATAACACACTGAATCACTTAATGACTTTAACATACACACGAGGTAACTCACCAGTTGTACGTAAGATATGTTTTCACTACAAGCCCTCCTTTCTTTGGATGAGCCCTGTACTCATTAACTTCACCAAACACACCAGCCATGTATGATGTCCCTTCTGAAGTATAGAAGTCTGAACAGAATTTCAAGAAAATTGTAAAAATGTAATTAGCTTTTTTTTAAACAAACAATAAAAACTGACATCATCATCCAGTAAGCATATTTCATAACAAAGTTAACATGATACTTTCCTCTGGCACAAATGTATCTAGTCAAAGATATCTGATACAATTTACTTTGATCTAAATTGCAAGGCCAGAGTTAAAAAAAATGTGAAAAGAAGACAGTGATAAGGTGTTTTTCTGTTTCTGAAACTAGAAAATAATTCAATATAGTTCTGAGTACTAGCAGGAAACATATTACCCACTCTACCATGATTAACTGAAACTTGAAATTTTCATCACATTAGTCCACAATAGAGAATTCCAACCAAAAGAACTTCAAAGGCATGTAATAAACAATATACTGTATATATGAAGCTTGTTCTAAGCAGATATAAATTAATTGCACTGGTTTTTAAGAAACCTTATCCTTTGTTTTAATAGCTATTAACTTCATTAATAGTAAAGAAACAACAACTAATAAAGTTACTATGGGATTTACTTTATATTTTGTTTTGAATTACCTGATTTTCTACAACTAACTACCAGCTATCTCAAAATCACTCTTAGTTCATTATTCAGTTAAATTAATTAATTTGTTTTCATATCAATAAAATTATGAACTTTAACAACAACAAAATAATTATGTAGTCCAGTCTATCATTTGATTGCCACTTTTCATTGACTTAGACTATCTTTGTGGAATTACACCCCTACATCCATGATCTAGAATTGGGCAAATCAAAAAATAAGACAAGGCTTCTTGTAGTGATGGTCTGTAAGTTGTACATGTTGTCTTTTATTCATCCCAATGAATTTATATTTATATAGGTACTTGAAAAATAGATAGTATTAATGCTACTAATTTATTCTTAAAAATTAATGAGTGGTATAAGTCTGTGAAAATTTTCTAAAATAGTGACACGTGGTGAACCAAATGACGGGATAGGCTTCACATTTCCTTTCTCCCTAAACATTATAAGTTTGTTTGGGCATGAAAAAATTACATTATATTAAACAGTTTGTCAATTGCCTAATTTAGAAGAATAACTTCTCAGTATTAATTCTCATATTATTCGAATATATACAAATATAGGTCACTGCATTGAATAAAGGATGAGTGAAATATCATAAATACATGAACATACATGTCAGGAGAATGCCACTTTTCCTTATAAGAACACAAGTTTATCTCTTAATAAACAATATCTCTTACTACTAACAACGAGAATGTTTAGAAAAAAATTATCCAAAACATTAGTTTATGAGAAATATCTATGATCTATTACAAGACCACATTCAAAGCTGTGGGACAGTTTATGTGACACACTTATTTCTTATCTTATGGAGGAATATTAGAATATATATATAGTTTATCAAAATGTTAAAATTTACCCTATACTTGATACAAAATTAAAAAAAAAAATACAATATGATCTAATATAAGATTATCAAGCAGGTGGTAGCACTGCCTATGTAGAGATGACTTGGACTGTTCATTGAAATTTTATTTCAATTATCTCCTCAATAGGTCATCAGAACTTTATATTCTACATAGTGTTTTCTTTTATAACAATATCTATGTAATGGCCGAGTCACAAGTTCTTGGAATATCTGTAAATATCATAGTTAAAAGTTTGAATTTCTTGTTCTTCTTTCTTCTGTTTCTTTTTATTACCTGAAAACTCTGCTTTTATTAGTATTATTAATAACTAGTAGTAATTAAAAAATAAAATCGTAATTCTAGTGTTAATGATGTTATCATTACCCCTTGAAGTTAGCTTTCTTAAAGAAATTTGATGTTCCTTTAAAAAGCTTAAGTTCAGGATGAAATAAGAATTATCAACCAATAATAGATAAACAATAAATATTACAGTTGGAACCTTATTGTATATAGAATTTGGTTATAAAAACAACCTTCCTATATCTATTGAAACACTGCATTAAAAAACAAGTAAAGAAAAAACTTTTCAAAAAAGGAAGTAAATGTATGGACAGCTAATATATCAATCCTTCAAAAACAATGCAAACAAGATAGAAGGGATGACACTTGCATCATCCCTACATAATAACACAGGCAAGAATTAACATATAGCAATATATATAACTATTCAATCACAATTGAGTTTAATTTATCCTATTTTTGTCTGTTAACATTATACAACACTGTGTGCCTGTGCTATTGTGTGGAGATGATGCAAATGTCATCCCTACTATCTTGTTTGCATTGTTTTTGAAGGATTGATATTAACCATCCCTACATTTACTTCCTTTTTTAAAAAGTTTTTTCTTTACTTGTTTTATTAAACTAAAGTTGTCCACCAAAGAACTTATCGTTAATTGGATGTTGTATATAATTTTTAAGACTACTAAACAGGCTATTAGACCTAACCTTCTGAACCAATGTAGAGTTCTTTTAAGTCTGCTGCCAGAAGCCTGCGGATAGTATGTAAAACCTCAAGATGAAGATACCTGTCAAGCAACTTTGGTAAAGTTTGTTGTTTTTTTCTCACTTCCCTACTGAGTTCATGGTCACTGGCGGGTGTGGAAACAGTTTCTAAAATATAATATAAAAGTCAAGTATCATGAAACACAGCAGCAAAATTAAAACAAACTTAATTTGTTATTAGGTCATTTAAACAGCACAACAAAAAGAAAAAGGTCATAATCCTGTCAGTATTTTGTTGTTTTACCTCAGTGCTGTCAAAATCATATTCTTCTTAATTATGATATCTTATTGTTCAAATAAAACAAACCCAAGAAAGATTTCACTAAGTTCACTAAATAATTTGATCAATGTTGTACTTAATTAACCTTGCCTAAACCATCATTAAATCACATATTTAACACTCAGGGAGGAAACATTTTTTTATGGGGGGGGGGATTTCACACACACACACATATATATATAGTTACAATTTTTTGGGTTTCTACATTCTCTTCCTCCATTGGTCATTGTTTACTGTATGTGACACTTCTGTTACTTTTCTTGGAGTTGCAAAATATTCTTCTAATTAGCTCATTAAAATACATTTTATGATTTGAAAACTGTAAGAATGTGTTTCTAGAGTTCAAACACCCCACCTTACAACACCCATCATGACTATGGTATTTATATGTCTTTTCCTCCTTAATTTCAGACATGAGATACCAACAAATCTTTGGTAGTAACTTATTAGCCAAAATTTATCCAAATGGGATTAAATGGGAGCCATTTTCCATCTAACAAGGTATCAGTATCTTCATATTACTGTTTTTTTTAAGATTAAAAAAAACAAATTGTGATCCAAATGTCTAAAAGATATTATATAAAATGCAAGTTATCAGCAAATACAATTCCAGCCAGTGGTTCCAGGATGAGCAGCCATGTAAGCATGTGAACAACTATTCCTACCCTGATAACACTATCATGTACCAAACAGTACATGTTTACTGATGAATGAGCCTATAGGTTACCATGGAAATTGATACATTGTTGAACATGTGATACAAATTTGTGGAAGCAGTTGGATTTAATATATATACACACAGTAGCACAAACATTGTTGTCTTAGATCTTTCTTGAGCAGTATATTTTACTATGACTTATTACTACAGAAAACTAAGTTTATTCGTATATAAATCTTGAGTACAAGTATCTTACCTTGAAATATGTTTTGTAAAACGTCTTCCCACAGATCTCTAATCCTAATGGCTTGTAAAACAAACTGTTGAGCTCCTTCTCCATTTACAAACCTTAGTTCTAACCAACCATCACAGACAATCCTATAATCAAGAAAAACACTATGCAGTTAACTATGTGAGAAAACATTGTTAGAGAATCAGTAACAGACTGTAGTTACGGCCAGTCAAAACAGAGTATCTTGAAACAAAGTAGAAAACACTGTGAAAGCAATCGTTGTTAGAGAATCAGAAACAAAGCATAATACAGCCAATAAGAAACAGACAATCATAAAGTATTTAAGCTTAATGAAAACAGTAACTAAAAAAATAAAAAAATATGTACCAATAAGAACTTGTAATCTTTCTTGGAAAGTCATTTTTTTATTTAAATGTTTCCTGTCTTAGATGTACATGAAATTGAAATCCTGATATATATATATTCCACTAACCATAATACTCTTCTGGAGTGCACTCAAGAAACAAAGTTAGAGCATTAAGACCCACAAAATTACTTCAAAACCAGTTTGAAAGTATCTATCTTGATAGAACAATGTGAACATATTCTGTATTCATGCCATGAATCTATGATTGCTTGCTCATTAAAACACAAACAATACATTTTTTTTTGGAATAAAATTTAGGTGACAAAACTGATGGAGCTTTCTCACACTAGTATTTATACACAAGGAATATTTTTTAAGGATACACATGCTTTGTAAAGAATCTTAAGCCTTAACTTATGATAAATCATGCAGATTTTTTTACTAGTAATTCAATTGGTATGCTTAGAGGACTAAGCCTATCCCAAATGGCTGAATTTAATCTGCTAGCTGCCTACAACCTGCTCTGCCCAACAGCATCATGTCAGGAAAAGGACTAGATTATGGTTCTCAGAACCTTGCCTTCTTTAGTCTATCTTGCTAAAACCCAGACAATTACCTGAACCCCAAACAGCATATGTCACAGAAAAGATTAAATTAAGGTCATCATAACAATGTTTCTTTTAAACCAACATATTTTGGATAAAACCCAATTAGCTTAATCCAAAACAGCATATGTCACAAAAATGATTAAATTCAGGTTATCATAATCAGGTTTCTCCTAAATCTACATATTCTTGATAAAACCCAATTAGCTTAATCCAAAATAACATATGTCACAGAAAAGATTAAATTAAGGTTATCATAACCTTCTCTATCCTTAGTCTACTTAACTTATTCAATTAAGATTCTCAAATCTCATCATTCTTTAATAGGTTTTTTCTTGTGAATCTCAAAGAGTCTTGAATTCAAATCATTAGCCGGGTTATTTTTTAATCAATTCTAAAGAACGAGTCAAGTTTGATAATGAAAAACCCACAATGAAGCTTGAATGGGTAACAAAAGAAACTATTGCACATTACACACAGTAACAAACGTATTTCAACATGGTTCTGTCATCATCAAGTACAACAACTTTGTACCTGAAGATGGGAAAATGTACACTTGTTACTGTGTTCAATTTGTAAAAGGTTTTTTTCTTACCCAAACAAGCTGTTTGTACACTTTAAAGCACCAAATTGACAGTTTTCTCTGATTTATATGGAACAGCTGTTTTCCAGGTAATTCAGTAAACAGAATTAAAAAATAACTAGGGGTGCACTCAGTATAGCACATACATCCACCAATCAGCGTTGATCATATTCGGCTCTCAAAAAATACAAAAATTTGCCCATATGTCCATTGTTATAAACAGACATGGACCATTTTTGGTAGGACAATGAGGAATAATATTCTACATATATCCACCAAAATCAACAAAATCCGATCATTGTTAACAGATACAGATTGTTTTTTATTTTCATGACCTTGCCCTTTGACCCTTCAAAAACTAACCACTTCAAAATTCAAATGTATACCAGCTTTTGTCCAAATCCATTCATCCATTTTCTAGAACCCTTGCTAATAAACACACACACACGAATGAAAATATAACCTCCATCCACCTCCAGTGGCAAAGGTAAAGATTTTGATGCCAAAAAATCTTGTTAAAGCTTTGGCACTTTTGTGTTTATCAGAAGTTTTTTTTTTACTGTATGGTTAATAAATGTTATTATTCTTATTACTTTAGGTTTAATGCATCAGAATCACATTGAATAAATACAATAAAAAGTTTAAGACACCAGAAATCTGAAGCATTCACAAACAAATCTATGTTACAAGAAGGAAGTATACGTTATTATCCTCAACAGTTTTAAATGTCATGTAAATAAATCTGAATCAAACTGAAAACAGGACACAGACAGCTCTATATTACACAGAGAACTTGAAACATTATACCTGGTGAAATCCTGATTTGTGTCTAGACTGTGAGACAGTAGTAGTAACGAATGAGCAGCAGGCACCCGTAAACAGTTGACAAGATAAGGTTTTGTAGTTTCTAGTAACAACCTACAAAACAGAAACCGTGCTACTGCATGAATTACCTAATAATGAATAACAATCTATATACTAGTTTAAATGCAACAGCCTAGTTCCAAACATTACATGAGGCCTACTTTACTTGTTTCACTCTTCCTAGCAGCACTGATCATCTGAGAAACTAGCCTGTTGCAGAAGTAGCATATCAATGAATAGATTAAGAAGCTTCTACATAATTTTTTTCTTCACTGAAATTTATGTTTTGGTAAAGAAAATAAATTAACAAAAAAAGAAATATACAGTTAGTCCACTGAATAATAATAGATAACTAATTTTGATGGTATATCACATATTATTCAAACATCTAAAGTATTTTAGGTTATTATTGGTGAGTATTTGGTTTTGATCTATAGTCCTCTAAACAGCTCACAATCCACCAATATATGAGGACTACTTTATTTACTTGCTTTGCTCTTCCAAGTAGCAATGATGAGCTGTGAATTTGGTGAAACTAGTCTGTTATAGTGGGAGTAGCAAATGAAAATATAGATTAGACTTCTACATCAACTTTTCTTCACTGAAATGCAGATCTTGCCGAAGAATATAAATTAAATGTATAGTAAGTAAATGTATAGACTGCTTAACCTTTTCATCTATGTAACAGCACAAGTGTTTGAAATTGCAATCAAAAGCTACAGAAAATACAAAATCATTCAAATATATAGTTTGACAAGAAGAAAATTAAAGATTACATATGATTTCTTATTAAGTTCAAAATGGTAAATTATTTTCAGGTTATGGCATGACACTTGCCAACAAGCCTTCGTACAAGTCACCTGTAACTCACAAGTATGTCAGCAGCTGATGTTTCATGCTCAGCGGTGTTCTTGAAGTAAATCCCTGCATCTGTTCAACATCCATTTCTCGGAGCTGAAGCAGATCTGGCTGTAGAGCTAGAACACTCATGGGATGAAGCATAACAAATGGTTTTGCCTGCAACAAGATTACATAACAACTATGTCATCACAAGCTTTCTACAGAGGGTTGAGTATCTTATGTCAAAAAGTTAATAATACACAAATCAGAAAGTCATATGACAATGACAGCTCATTAAAAAGCTGCAGTGTACTATATTTTGATATTGTTTGGCATTTTGTAGATAGTGTGAGGCCACCAAAAACTGCTCACTTTTAGGAAGGGTTTGTAATAACTATTTCTGATACTAAATATTCATACACTTATATAATTAATGTGTGTTCAAATTCGGGATTTAGAATATCCAAAACAGGAATATCCATTGTACATAATGGTAATGGAAAACAAAGGAATACAGATCAACTTGAGGTCATCAGGATTATCTAGTAAAAGACCTGCAACAACTCATACCCCAGATGTGGTAAGGAAAGTGCAGCATCTTGTAACAGGTAAGAACACCAAAAATAAAAAGACCAGTGGCCAAAGTCCCAAAAAAAAAGTACACAGCATAATAAAGATGGATATCTTTATAGAAAACACACATTTTTACATGGACACTATTTAGTTCCATAACATATCAATCCAACAGTGGTAAAAACCACAAGCAATTGAGAGTGAAACATGTATTCTTACAACTCCATACAAAGACTTATCAGTGAAATTGCCTGATGCAGCACCTGTGTAACTGGACTGTTAAAACGAGTGCTTGGAAAAGACAGTATATGACTAGACTTATTGATATGAGCTGTAATGATGTTTCAGTCCAGCAAAATACTACAAGATTAACCACAACATACCAGATATTTCACTGGGGCTCATCCATGTGGTCATTTTAATGTAGGAATTTCCACTGATGGCTACCATGGAATATCCACTGATAGCCATACAGTCTTTCTGTTTATAGTATTCCTTGCTTGTCACCCAACTGATTGTGTTAGAATATCCATTGATGGTCACCCAGTTTTGTGCTACCCAAGTGACCACTATTACATACAACTTCCTATGGAAGACTAAGTAGTCATTAACATACTGAAACATCTACTGATGGTTGTTCACTTGGTACTTTATTGTGATATTAATATATGTGATAGTCACCTTAGTAGTTGTTAGTGGTAGATTATCCTTTGATGATCACATAATTAGTTGTGTTAAATTATTCACTGATGATTACTTGTATATTATTTAATTTATCCACTAAATTATTTAGTTGGTTGTGTTAGCATATCCACTGATGGTCAACCAGTTGTTTATGTTAGAATATCTGCTGATGGTCACTCATTTGGCTGTGTTAGAATATTCACTGATGGTCACCCAGTTGGTTGTGTTAGAATATTCAATGAATGTCATTCGGTTGTGTTAAAATATCCACTGATGGTCACCCAGTTGGTTGTGTTAGAATATCCACTGATGGATTATAATATTAAATACTTTTTCTATTTCCTTGGTGAACTTGATGGCTGGTGTCTTCAAGTCGAGGATGTTGAGGAAATCTTTCAGTTTGTCACTGCCATGTTGCCATAAATACCTTTCCCATAAGTATGGGGAGAGAGACTTGCCATATGACAAAGGTGTCTTGACATTCTAGTCTAAATAAATATCACAAGCTTAATCACATCAGCCTACAGAAAACTTACCAACTTCAAAAAATATCTTCACTATGAACAAAACCATTGAGACAAAGTAAAAAGATGTATTATCAGATGCTTACACACATGCAATAGACACCAAATCACAGGTAACACAGTAACAAAAGAGCATTTTTCATAAAAATGGCTACCCATCATAAAACAAACAAAAAAGAGACCAGTTTAGCACTGACACACAAGGATAAAGAGGAAATTTAATTAGAAACTACTGTTGTCATTCCATTCTTTTCACAAGTCAGCTACAGAATCTAAAGTATTTTCAAACAGTTCCAGTTTCATACTCAGTTCAAAATAAGTCACACACTAAAAAAGTTAGAACAACCTCCCAACAAATGCCTAAATAAAGAAGTTGTTCACGAAATGCTGCACAACTGTGGATACACATACACTACAGAAATAAGCATATAGAAGGCTCTGCCATAGAACACAAATCACTTAACAGATTTGGAAAACAAAGAACTAACATCTCACAAAACCAACTGCAAAATAAAAGAATTATTGAACAAAAATTCAGCCATAAACAGAAATAAAATATTAGACATCAATCTTACAGCAATCTCTAAGGACCATGTTCATCAACCAAGGACAATGAAAAGAACATATTCAACAACCAATTAGAACACATCCAGAATACAAGTCAATCTACCTCACATTTATAAATACACTATAACATGACACACCTGATCCAATGAAAGGAAACAAAACACTGATGAAACATAGTCAAGTTCACCAATCTGAAAGTAGCAAGTTCGTGGATATGTTCCAGAAAAGATCCATTAAACTGCCTCCAGAATCCTACAAAGAACAACCTTCATTGCTGGAAAAAGTAGTGCTTAAATTAAATTACTGGTCATTGCAACCCAGCTGGCTTAGTTAGTTCTGGTAATAAGTGAAAAGAGCTATCAGTGCTTTCCTGCAAAATACAATGTATGAATGAAATATATTAATGTCAAGCATTCTTATTAAAAAACATAAATAACCAATTTAAGTGTTCCATAATATTTCCATCACACTTCCAACAAAAAAGTAATTATATTGTTTTATATCTTTCTCTATAATAAAAAACAGGCACATCTGCATAGTTATACAATCTGGAGAAAGGATTTCTCTATGTGTGGAAAACTATCATATCCTATCATACTTTGTAAGACATTTCACACTCGAAAAACCTGCTTCTAGTATATCTGCATTTTAATCTAAATTTACAGAAAATACTAAATTTTTTTAAAAATTACTGCATATCACTACAGATAATTTAGACTTTGCAATGATTACTTTTAGCTTGTTAATATTAATTCCCATGCTTTACATACTTTGGTGTGAAAAAGCTGATCTGAATCACTCTTGTAGGAGTTGTGCTCATCTGCCACTGCTACTTGTGGGTAAAGTCCACTAGCTACTATAAGCTTCAACATCACGAGGTCCTTGTGAGTGTAAGCATTACTAGTAGAGAGTAAAGCCTGAAAAAAGTTATATTTTCTTGCTATTGATGAAGTACTAAAATGTAATAGAAACATTTCAAAGATTCTATTGTTTACTTACTTTACACAAAGATGTTCATAAGTTCAAAAACTGTAGCATTCCTGCTTTAACACCTTCAACCAATTATTCCAAGTTGTGATCCAGTAATTAAAATCAAACTACATATCAACCAAACTAAAGTGTATTACATTAACTACATATATTTTTTTAATGTTATATTATCTAGTGTAATTTTCTTATCATGCTTGTGTTCTTTCTTGAAATACAGAGTAACAACTTTAATTCTACAAAACAAGGGACAAATAAGTTAGACGCTTAGCAAATAAATATCTGACTGGAAAAGCTCAGTCCTAATAGTTATTCAGTAGACATAAGGACTACATACTTGGCCTGATTAGGCTAAATCTCAAATATACTTTTAAGGGCAGACACTAAACTTATCTATTACAAAATCCTCTTTTAAAACAATGGATATACTTTTTTTTACAGTCTAGAAAGCAGAGTTAAACTAAATATCTGTCTTTATAAATAACTTTCTAAAATTAAAAAATAGTTACTATTTTTTAAAAAATTAGCCATTTCAGAAAAGAAAAATTGGCCCATTTTTAAAATGTAAATCAAAATGGAGGTATAGAAATCTGTTTTTAAGAAGTCACATCATTTATTTTATTATACACAAACACACACACACACATATATATATATATATAGCAAACAAACTACTAAATCAGTCAGGTAATTTCACTTAGTGCCATCTAAGATGTTCAAGTTGTATGTTGTCTAGTTTTATATATGGGCCAGATTTTTTATAGCTGGTGTCTGTGACTTGTTGATGATAAATTCAAACAATAAACAAACAGCATACAGTCCACTTGTTTTAAAATAATATATTAAAACAAGTCAAATATTAGTTACTCTGTTGGTTATCACAGTTGTATCCGAAGCTTTAAATAATTGTCTCTTCTTCATCAAAGTCCACATAGGCTGGTTCAGTTACTTTGAAACACAGTTTGACAAAACAAAGTTAACATAGTAGCTAGGGCATGTGGATCATGTTATATACACTTATAAACCCCAACCATAAGTAAACAGAGTGTCATACATCAAGCAACCGTAAGTATAAAGAGGAAGTTAGCTTTCTGCCAAACCCAACAAACTCCCAAAACAACCATAAGAGCAAGAAGTATAACAAACTGAACCCAGCATTACGGGGCTGTGGCATTGCCTCAACTTGACTCTAAGAATACTCAATAAATCACCAAAGTTCAACTCGACTGTAAGAACAGGGTAATATTTGTAACTATTACTATGAGCAGAAATCGTAAATCACTCAACCATAGATGCAGGAAAGAGAAACCCTGCACCTGGAATTACAAAAGGGACATAGAACATTCGCTCAACCATAGAAACAGTGTATGTACATCCTGAAGCCGGCATTATGAGGCAGATGAAATCCCCCAAACTCTATTGTAGGAGCAGGTAAAGAACCTCCTGCAACTAGAATTAAGGAGAAGAGAGGCCTCTACTGCACACAACTGTAAGAACAGGGTGGTGTCATCCCAAACCCGGTATTTTGAAGAGGATCCCGCATAGGCTGGAACTGCACCAACCGACATCTGTCCACCTTGGAAAAAGCATCCAGGAGAAATGAAAGAAGGGAAACCAGCTTTGCCTTCTTCTCACTGACTGTATAATCATGAATATATATGGTAAAGGACATATCTAAACCCACTCAAGAGGTAGCTTCCATGGTCCACTGCCCTGAACTGGGAAGGACCATGCTCCACTGGAAGAAAAATGGGGAAAGTAAATGCATTGGGGAGTCCAGAGGAATGTCACACCAGAGAAAGTGCAATGGGTGTCCATGATTCCCTATTTTGAAAGGCAAACTGACCCCAATTTATTCAACATCCTCTTCTGCTTTACTCATGAAGTCCATGAGTGATGTCCACCTTTGAGTGAAATTGATTGATATCTAGAAACATATATACCACTAGTGGTCTTGTGGTAATGAAACACCCCAACTCTATAGTGAGCATTATAGTGCAATCAGTAAATAGTATGGGTTTGAGGCAAAACATACCTAACCAGGCAACACCTGCTACAGAGTGGGATCCCATTATTAGTGGTTAAAACTAGGGTTGCTGAAAATAAAAACATTAATAAAAGGAAGTTATAAGACTTACCTCAGTCAAAGGTGAACAAACGAGTGTAGAATCACCATGGGAGAGAGACAAAATCCACCAGAGAAAATGCCCACCTAACAAACTGACAAACCCAACCAATTAGCATGACAAGGGATAGATCATGGAAAAAGAAAGGGTTTCAGGGAACAAAAAGTTGTGAACATGAAGTCTGAAAGGAGGCAGGATGTGTCACATAACCTTATAAGGAGCGAACCGGACAAAGAAGACAATCAGGATCAGAATGAGAGTACTGGTAGGAGAAGTAAGGTAAGGAAATGGATGTGAAAGCCAAACATACGTCATGTGCTGCATAGATCTGAGGGAGGAAGGACCAGTCGCAATATAGGATGACATTTGAGGAATGATAGAGGAAGCAGTAACATTAACAGTATAAATATCTGATCTATGATGTCTGCAAGCAAGGATGAGAAGGAAATAGGTCTTGAGGGAGAGATGGTAGATGGAACAGGAAAGCAAAGATTCAAAGGGATGATGGGAAATGCATAAAGGACCACACTGAGATCACAATAAGGAAATCAAAGGAAAGTGGAGGACACATGACTCGAAAGGAGCAGAAAAAGAGGGAAGTGACATGGGAAAACAAAACTAGATGAAACCAGGAGAAATGGAAGGTATTTGAGAAGGCTACCCAAAAGCTAAGCATGGTGGAAAAGCTTTTGTCAAACAACCAGGTGAAGAATTGAAAAAGATGAGGAATTGAAGGGTGGGAAGGACAGAAACCACATCAAAAAGGCAAAAGATCGAAGGTATACTGTGCCAACTGGACATGGAAGATGGTCTAATGGATCAGGAAAGGAAAGATTCAACACAAGGAGGCAGTCCCTGGGCTGAGATAATGGATGGACCTGACAAAAGCCATACAAGAACACAGAGTTTGGTGACATCTGGAGGAACATTGTCCAACCAAGTTTGACAGAATAAGGACCGAGACAGAGGTAATGGTATGGGAGGTTGAACAAGTAAAGGCTGGAACAGTGGGAATGATTGTTGCATCAGCCAATATGGAGCCACCAGTAGGCTGAGACACAAAGTGGTTTGGAATAGGGATAGAACTCTGGAGAGGAGTCAGCATAGCTGTGAAGACCCCCTACAATCTTGACAGAATGTGACCACCCCCAGAAGTAGCAGGTGTGGAAAGGGAGACCAAAGGGAAGAAAGATTAGTGTACCAGTAGCATATATGAGGTGTCCCCAGCTAAGAACACACCCAACTAAAGATCTGAGGATTGAGGGACTACTCTGTGAGGAGAATCGTGTTGGGAGAAAATAACTGATCCACAACCAGATTCAGGGAGCCAGAAAAATGGAAAGCTAAGACCATAAAGTGGTAACTGTGGGCTAAGATAGGAGATCCAGGAACTGAAAGCACAGAGACCTAGAATTCGTACCCCCTTGAAGTGTGATATAAGTGACTACTGTGGAGATATCAAAATGTACCATAACCACCCCCCCAGAGGAGAGGAAGAAAGTGGGACAAAGCTCAAGAATGGTGATATGGAGAGAAGACTCCTTGATCGACTAGAGACTGGAAATCTCCCAGGAGTCAAGGTAAGGACCCAACCCTCTAAAGATGAGTACATGAACAGATTTAAATCCGAACGAGGTGGAGTAAGCAGCACCTCCACTGTGGTCTGGTCTCTGTTTAACCACCAAGCCAGATCAACTCTGATTGGTGAAGGAAGGGTAAAAGGGTGGTCCAAGGAGAAGTTCCACTGATCTTGGAGTGTCCACCAAAGGGAACAAATATGAGCCCGACCCATGAAAATGAGAGCTTCCAAGGAAGCCTACAACCTCAGAGAGATAGAACATCTTAAGTTGTAAGAAATGTGAGGTGAGGGACTCATGAACTGCCTGCTCCAAAGATGAAGAGGAAAAGGCAAGGACCGACTGAGGTTGGAATGAAGAAAACCCTCCAAATGAATGGGGGTAAGAACAGACTTCCCCACTGTCATCTGGAATTCCACCCATGCTGCTTCTTGTAGGAACAGAAGAGTGTGGTCTCTGGATTGTGAATGGGAAGAAGCAGACAGGAGCCATTCATCCATAGAAAGAAGACTGCAAAGATTCAGAGAGTGAAGATGCCAGGCAAGAGTTTGTACTCCCTGACAAAACACTTAAAGAGCTGACGTTTGTTTGAATGGTAGGGCCCTGAAATGGAAAACTCGACTTAGAGCAATAAGTAACTATCGATAATGAGGGTTTCTAGTATCACAAACATACAAAAAGGAGCCAAGGCAAAGCTCAGCCCTACAAACAGGAAAGAAACAAGCACATCAGCAATGGAACAAAGACAAAAAAAAAAAAATTAAGTCCTACACTGACGAAAATTAGAATTATAAGGCATATAGTGAACAATTATTCAGATAGAACAATAAATGATATAATACTAGTAGTACTGATATGTAATGTAGATAATGTACAAACTATCTAAACATACCTAGTTACCAAAGTATACTTATAAATATCAAATGAACAAACCATCTAAATTTACCAAGTCCACAAAGTATGTAATAATAACAAACATGCAAACTGAGTAAAACTACTTAGAAAACTCATTAACAATCAAAATCAAACTTACAATTTATCTAAAGTAACCTAGACAACAAAGGACACACAATTAAGTCCTATACTGATAAAAATTAGGATGATAAGGCACATAATTAACAATGACAAAAAGAAAAATTAATCTGATAGAATAATGAATTAACTGTTACTAGTAGTAATGATATGTAACTTACCATCGAAACATACCTAGTTAAGGTATATATTAATAATGAACTAATAAACCCACAAAATTTGCAGAGTCTACAAAGTATGTAATATTAATGAATGTGCAAAACAATTAAATTTACCTAAAAACAAAGTAATAATCAATATCTAACTTGCAATTCATCTAAAGTAACTCAGATGACAAAAGACACATAAATATCTAACTTACCAAAGACTGACCAATGATGATGTGAAATACTTACCTTTGTGTGTAAATCAGGACAAAGCCATACAAAAGGCATCTTAGCAGCACCTACCACAGGTATATCAACCAGGTGTGAAGTGTACATGCCAAAACACTTACCACAGATTCCCTGGGAAACCTGGAAGCAATAGAAAAAACAATTCTCCATCAAAGTGAATGACGTGGTGGCATGGCAACTGGTAGATGGTGAAAACTCCTGAAAAGGTGTAGAGTGAGACAAACCAAAACAAGAAGGAACTGCAAAAAGAGAGTCCAAATTGTCTTCTCATTGATTATATCCCTCCTTGTCACATTGAAAAGAAGAAATTACCAGGCGAACATATGAATCTAGCTCCCTGCAAATTAAAGCCTGTACCTCCTTTGCAGATAAGTTGAACCCGATTCCTTGGAAGTCATACCATTAGTGTTTTTGACTGCAACAGGAATTTCCGAAGTTGATACATTAATCTCAAATTCACACTAAGATCTCTTATAAATTGGTAACAAGAACTAAATGCAAACACAGTAAAATAGAAATGATGAGGTATATAGACTGGTGCACTGATCACAAAATTTGCTTAGCAATGCTTAGAGGGAAAAAGAAGATCAAGATAGCTTTGTGTGAGGAAGGTAAGACCGTATCAGAATTATTCTTCCGGCTCTGTTATTACAATACAGTGTAATAATTTCACTTTAAAAACCATCATTATACGCTCTTTATGTCTAATCTCACAATCGTGCAGTCTAGATTTATCTATCTCTATATCTGTCTAACTAACTCAATCTATGTTTTGGATGTGTATTTATAGCCTGACAGAGGCCTAGAACATTCTACATCTCACAAGATATTATGATGCAATAATATTTAATTACAAGAATGAAAATAACTTAGAAGGTTCTAGTAACATGATGCAATAATACAACAATTGCCAATTCAAAAGAACTGAACTACAGAATATAAAACAGTAATTAGTCTCTGGTAAAAATTAATAATTAGATTTAGGTAATCATATAGGCTACTAACCATGCCAACAATATATAACTATGTTACTCTGAAATCTAACCTTTGTCTGCTCTTTTAAAGCACTGATATTATTAATCAGTAAATATTTATTTTTATGTGAATACAATTAGTAACATTAAAGAAGTAAATGAAATTCATACAAAATATTTAAATCATAATAATGAGATCATTCTTGCTTCACCAGACTGTCAACAATAAACATTATCCTTTTTCATTCAAGAACATCAACTTACTGCAGAGTTCTGCCATATGTTAAATGTAAATTGATATCTATTTTATTTTTCAAGTTCACTGCAAATCCAGAAGTAAATTTAAACTTAAAACTTCTTATCCCAATGGAAGAAAATTTGTCACGCCATAATAACTTTGCACACCTAAGACCAAAATTCAGGTACAATTACATGCACCTGGTGCTAGATGTAACAACTTAATCCAACTGTAAGAAGAAAAAAAATATATAGACAGGAAATTGAGCTCTGGCTTAGACAGCTTTTACATTGTAAATAAGATATGTTTAATATTGCATTTTACAAACTGAGATATAAGCTGTCCACCAAAAACAACAAAGCAAGTGTGTGTTATTCACAGTACACTGTTTTCAAGTCACTAAATATTGTACAATGGATAAAGTACATAGTGGACAGCATGTCTTATTTGTCATTAACTCTACTGAATCTTCAAGCTTAAGTGGAAAAAATATGCTATTAGTTATCAACACAACTCCATAAAAGTCCAAAGTACATTTTTCTAACAGGCCACAGAATGTGTTTGTTACTAAATAAGTCTCCATAAAATTGTTATGACCCACAACACTTATTCTCAAGGAAGTGTTTTAAAACACAGGTTAGAGATTTGGTTGTTTGTCACTAACAACTTTACAGAAACCTAAAACACAGATAACAGAATGTGTTTGATACTTAAAATCTACAGAAGCTTAAAACATATGCTTGAGAACAGATATGGTTTGTCATCAATAATTCTTCAGAAGTTACAAAGACACCTTGCAGAGAATTTGTTTTCACTAAGGGCTACTAATAAACTTAAATACATGGAGAACGTACTGACTACTTTAGGATAGTATGGTATTAAAGACAAAATAAGATAACAGAAAATAAAGTATTAATACAAGTTCTAAAAATGACATAATAATGCATTAAAAGTTTAAATTTTTATTAAGACCAGAAAATAATTTCAAAATAAAATATTATAGCTTTAATACCACATTACCCAAAACTAAGCTATTTAACATGTTCTTGTTCAACTTAAAATGAAAGTTCACCACTTATATTTTATTAGATATCAAAAATAGTTGCAACTGAAGACAGCTTACCTTTATTCTGTTAAGTTACTCATTTTGATTGAAATACCTTAATAAATAAATAAGATATTTCAAAAACACTACGAGTATTATTCCCACTCTGGGCAGATGTATGTAAAAACTTACCTTCGTATCCAATAAATCATCCATTCAACAATCTTAGTTCCTTTGGAAGCACATTTTTACTGACCTGGACCTGGTTGCAATCATTTGACATTCGAAATTCTACATCTTTAATGTCTACATCCTCTTCAGCCCCTTCCTCAACAATTCCCTCAATATCTGACACAAGTCTTAGCATTTTACGTTGGTGTGGAGTTTGTTGGAATTGTCTCTTCATTTCTCTAAGTTGACGTAGTTCTCCATATCTTTGAACTCTCCGGGAGCTGCTAGTCTGGTAAAGCTTGCGTTCCATTAGTCCTGAATTCTAAATAAAAGGTATTAATATCAGAATTATTTTCTGAAAAACAAAAGTGAAGAATGCAAAGACTTTGTATTAATTCTTGAAAAAAAGTAAAAAATGCAAAACTTTCAATTACTTTCACACAGAAACTCATCACTGGACCTTGGTAAGGTGGCTGATAATTCCAAAGTGTATGTTTGTAAAATGATCCTCATTAGGCCCTCAAAATCATAATGGTTTTGTTGCCTACCAAACAAATGTGTACAGCTTCTTACCTCAAAATAATGAATAACGATTAAAAACTAGACAATAGAACAAGAAAACTTAACTGAAAGTACCAGGCCTTACCTAAATGTTTCTACATGTTTCAGTGGGTCATAAACTTTACCAAAACTTGAAACAAAGTTAGTGCTTAAAACTAGATGACACAACAATAAAACATAATTAAAGACACCAGACCTTACCTAAATGTTTCAGTGAGTCACAAACTTTACAGAAACTTGAAACACAGTTGATATCTTCAACAGTTTTTAAATAATATAAATTTAAATGTTATGTCACCTTGTTTTAAATAAGTATTTTACACAAACTTGATAATACATGACATCAAAGAAAATATCCAGGTAACTAAATGTCAGGAAAAAAGTACAAAGACTTGAAACTCCACAAATACATCTACTAGCTAAATGTAGTTCATAACTAGTGCTTTTCATAATTAATGATAAAAAAAAATATTCTAAAATATATAATGGTTACCTTGTTTTGTTCCTGTTAAGGTGTTACTACTACTATCATTTAGCTTTATTTGAAATATGTGCATATTTGATAACGAGAAACCCAATTTTAAAAAACTAAAAGTTTGGAAACCATGACCAAATTCAACACACCAGTCATGAAAGTTGCATTTTATTCAGTGATTATACCCTAACTACTACTTTATTAAAAATAGGCCTACAGCAAATATTCCATGAGATCATGTTTGTTTGAAGAACAACCATGCTAGTGCATATACTATCTAAAGTAGTATGTCTGCAGCTTCCATCCACATGCTTAAGAAGACTGCAGACACAAAAGTCCATTGAAGCTGCATCAGGAGGCTTGACAAGTACATTTTCAAATGAGGTGATTCCAGTTTTTCGTTAATCTTTCTCATGTAAACAGTCCACAGTTTAAAGATGTATTGAAGCAATTGGGTGATTTTAATTGAATTTCACAATTGCTTTATTATTTTTAAGAGTTTAAGAAAGAAACTAAATAAATTTAAGTTTCTGGTTGTGCTATACATACATGAAAAAATATCGTATGTAAGGATGCCTGTATTACGAAATTAGGTCAAGAACCAGGTGAAGCATAGTTAGCTGGTTAGTTAGTATTGAGAATCACGAGTTAAAGAGTTATAAAAAATGAAGCTGCAGTGAAGATGCTGAGAAAAATGCTAGTCACAAGTTTGACAGTGATAAATTACTGACGCCTATCTAGTAGTACAGTAAAGGCTACTAAAAAGTTTATGATAGCATCTAAAATTGGCACCTTGATGTAGGATTCGTTACTACAGACTAGAGTAGTAGCACAAGTGAGAAGGCAACCAAAGCATCACCATCACAGTAACCAATTACTTGAGACTAATAATGCTTGGAGATAGCTTGAATGGGTAATGAAGAAAAACTTATGATGACAAAACCTTGTCAAAACGTTTTACATTTGCTGTTATGTTTAACTTATATTAAAGTTTTTCTT